GAGGCCGCCCGCCGCCAGGGGGCAGCGCCGCCGCCGCCGCCGCGGAGCTGTCCAGCGGCCGGGCGGCCCGCCCACGGCGGCACCGGCACCGCCCCCGCCCCCAGCCGCTCCAACGGCTCCAACGGCTCCAACGGCCGCCTTCCTGCGCGCTGCGGAGGGGAGCTGCGGCGGGTGCGGCGGGATTGCGGCGCTCCGGAGTCGCGTGCTCCCAGATGGAGGGAAACGAGCGCTTCCCCCACACACGAGGGACGCGGCTCCCACTGGGGACGTGATGGGCTGTGCTGCGGAATGTGCGAGATTGAGGACAGAAAGCACCGCGCATGCAGAGGGCGAAGGGCAGCACCCGGCCCTGCACCTTTCCTTTCCAGCCGTACACCCTCACAGGACCAGGGAAAGAACATTCAGGATTTTCCTTTTTGCCAGTTCACTAGGCAACAGCCATCCACTGACACATGTACAGCCAACTGGTCAAAACGCCATCACAGTCCTCTTCGAACACCCGACCGCTGCCCGCTGCCCTGGGCCGCAGCGCGGGCTGGTCCTGCGGACCACCCTTCCCAGACCGCGCTGCTTCCCGGCCCGCTGCTCCTCGGCTCCCCGCCCAGGGCTGCCTCATGTTCGCAGGGCCCCGCGACCACACGGGACCCTCCCAATATAACCCAAACTCTCCAGGGAGCGTAAGCTCCTCTTCCTCACTTGTCCTCGTGGAAATAGTTTCCACTCTGATGTTCATTCATAACCACTGTTCGTATCAACATGCCACACACATTTATCTGTCCCTAAAGGGAATAAGCTTGTCCAGGACACGGGACAGCAAGCTGGACAGGGGCTATTCCAGGGTCAGAAATGCCAGGTGAGCCCTGGCGGCTTTGTGGCAGCCACACAGGTGGGAAACGGAACACCTTTTTGTCTGTGTCTGTACCTCCCATCTTCTCTGTACAACAGCTGGAGCAAACAGAAAATAGAGTAAAGCTCTCGCTTCCTTGGATGCTGGGGAAGGCACAGAACAGTGCTGTCTGTCTGCAACTGGGAGAAAAAATCACACTAGTTAGGAAATCCAAGGTGAAGACATACAGCGCCCTTATATTACGCAATGGAAGCTTCAGTTAATTAACACAGGTGGAATAAGGACTATGTGGATGCCAAGGTGCAGTCAGTTTGACAAACCCTACATTTGACCTATATATTTTTTGCATAGTCTATTTCAAAGAATAATACTGGGATCATAAGCTCCTTCCCCACCCCCTTCCTTCAAAATTATATTTCATATGAGTCAATAGGACTAACACATATGAAAAGCCTAATTTGGTTTTGGTCATTATTTGCATTTGGGCTTCTGTAACCTGGCCATGAAATTTAAATGGAAAATTACACTTGGAAATTAGGAAGACAGAGGGGATGTTTTTGCATGTCTAGCACAGCAAAGAAAAAATAGAATAACCTTTAAGATCACATTTAAGGATACCTTCTTACTTTAGAAACCATCATCTTAAAAATAGATAGTAGACTTGAAAATTTCCTGATAATGCCATTAATAATGCTCTGATAATGCAGACTTTGTGTATTCAAAATGAATCCTGTCACTTGAACAAGTTCATGTACTGTCCTGTAGCAACAGAAGCAAGCAAGGGAGGAAGAACAGGTTGATAAGGAGTTGCTTAGCTGCCAGCCTTCCAGCTACACATTGAGTAACAATTTGGACACTTGTGGATAATAACATTATTGATTAACCTTCTTTATTATCCCTATATTCCCTAATTTTTGGTGGGTGTTTTAAAGGAGGTGGTTCTTCATAAGCACACTACACACCACTGATCCCAAGTGTGATTGCTCTGGGGCCCCATAAGCTGCCCGCTGCGGACAGGACGAAGGCCTATGGAGCAGCCTGACGACCTTCCTCCTAGGCAGCACCACGAGGGAAAACAAGTTTCCCTTCCCAGTGCAGGTGCAGTTGCCAGCCAGGGCCCACGTTGTCAGCAGGGCCAAACCTGGGTTCTCATGTCCCTCCATCCTCTGGCAGCCTGTGGTGGCATCACAGTGACAACCACAGTCCTGGCCAGGGCTTGTGAGCAGCTGCTTCTTCAATCCACCTAACAGATCATTAAGGTATTAGCTTGTTTGCATGTCTGTTTGCTCCGGCTTCAGGTACTTTAGAGCAGGATTTTAATTACCATCTCCTCCACCACATTAAGAGGTGACACGGATAAAAAGGTCTTTGAAGGCTTCCAAGGGGCACAACTCCCCTTTCCACACTTATGCCTTTTTGCTATCCTTCCGGTCCAGCCCCTGCCTAGGCACACTGCCTTTGCAGCACCAAACTCTGCTTAAACTTTAAGCTGCTGAGGGAAAGAAAAGAATGGTGAGGAAGCACTGACACATGAGAGAATTAAGCACAACCCATCACTACAAGAGACTCCTGTTGGTAGCCTCTGCAGAAGGGACGAGGTAAGCACAAGTGGCTCCACTGTCAGACCAACCCAGCTGCTTTGTTCTCAGCTGCATAGGTACATCCATCGGGAAGCTCTTCCATGGTGAACAACTAGGGCTTCCTTTTGCATACACAAATACCTGGAAAGTGTCAGGATAATTCAGCTCCTCCTGCTGAATTTGCTCTTGTCCCTCAGCAGGTGGGACTTACAAGAGATGGAGGAATGCTTTGCACTCACAAGGTGAGCAGCATAGAAGAGAAAATAATGCACAGTTTTGTTATCTTTATTCCACCCTCTAGCTGGGATAAATGTACTTGCTAATTTAATCAGGGGTACACAGCAGTTTCCCAAGTGCTGATTTGCACTACCAGTATGATTTGAAGAAGGACAAGGTGCTGTTTTTGGTGAGCGTCAGAAAGCCTGTGCTGTTGGGTGTTACAGGTGCTTGCAACACAGCCCATCCCTGCCACAGAGAGCTCAGGGCATTCTGGCAAGCCCTCTCCTGCCTCCAGTAGTTGCGCCCGAGGTCACATTCGAATCCCAAACAGACTCATTCAAGAGAGCTTTCTCGGCCAAGGCGTAAGCATGCGCCAGTTCTCTGCTGGCGTTTCTCCACTGAAGCGCTCCCTGGCTGGCACTGGGCTCGCACCAGAGCAGGGCCAATATGTTCACAGCATAAACACACACGGTGTTCGGAGTGAGGTGTGAAAATTGCCCAGAGCTAATGTGGCAGTACAGGCAGTCTTGAGCATAAAGCTACTAGAGAGAGACTTTTCTCCCTGAGCAGTATTTTCAGCCAGGGTGGATGCAGTAGAGTGGCAGCCTATAGTGGCTGTTCTATGTATAATCAATGGTGCAATTTGCTTCTCTGCTTAAAAGTGTAAGTTTTAAAATCATGATTTTCCCATTTTTTCTTTCCATCACACAGTTGCTATATATGTTTAGCTCACTATTCAGCCTGGAACTCATGATGCCTGCGAGAAATGTGCTGCTTTTGGCTTAGGAGCACAGACTCACCTTCATCTTCTTGATAGTTACCCTACAGCTGTGTCACTCTGAACAGGCAGCAAGGGCCCTGGGTGTTTCAAAGTATAGGGAAAATGATGATGACTTGAGGTTTTGGGGTCATAAAATAAAAAATACCAAACCCTAAATTAAGGACTTTATCTGCATTCAAACTGTTGTTACGTTGCAGTGTGGAGGAAAAAAAATCGTTTCAGAGAGTGCTTGCTTTATCTTGCATGTACAGCCGCTGTTGCAAATTTTCTCCATTCCACTCATGCCACATTTTATCTGCTGAGGACTCTCACTGACTATTTGAGACTATCCTGCTTAATTATTTTGCGTATTTTCCAAAATAAGAATTGCAGTTTTTGCTAACCTCTAAGCTAAGTACCTTGAACCTCTGTGAATATTCAGTTTTATAGCAGTACCCATATATCAGTGATAAATACTGCTCACTCAAAGTCCAGTCACCAGATATGTCAGTTTTAACACACCTCCTTCCCAAAACCCAAAGAAATAACATCTCTCTTCTGACTTGTGGTCCCTGCAAGTCCTTTGCTCTGTGTTTTCTTTCATAATAGGACATTTTGCT